TTGCTGCTCAGGGTGAAGAATCGTTAACTTGGTTCGATTCTTATTGCCTTCAGAATGGACGATGACAGAATGAAATAGTACCAGGAATGGAGTGTCCGGTAAACCCTTAGCTTGGGCAATCAAAGCAGCTAAAGCAATCCCATTCGAGCCATACAATTTCCCAACATCGGACGTGGCCATCAAACCGGAGTATCTTGTTTTCGTTACTACTACTAGGGTCGATATGGGTGAGCACTTCCAGCATCACTCTCTAAGTTTCAAACAATGGCACACAGGGTTTGAACGGACAAAGATAAGGGAATTTTACCTCACAATACCATCCGCCGAATCTTTGGGTGGTTTCTATACGGAGCATCATCTTTGCACCGTTACGGAGCAACATCGATTTGCAAAGATGGTGCAAGGATCCGATGTTTGGGAAGAGCTAAAACGACTGGATAACAGAGATGATGTGAAAGTATCTGGTATCACAATCCTCGACTAATTGTCTCAAACCTCAATGTGGAATTTCTGTGCACAACATCAGGGGTTAAAGCCCATGCATTCATCTAGGTATACCTTCAAATGGAGTATTATTCGTGATTTGATTTCTCAATCCCAAGTGAAGAGCACAAAAATATTCAACAAGGCCCCATCGGAGTCATGTCACTCAGCGCAGCTCAAAGCATGTCCCAGCAGTTGCCTTGGCGGGCAGTCAGCAGCAGCTAACAAAGCTTCTTCCTTCTTTCCCAACAAGTACCAATGTGAGATTCCACCTCAATCATGTATCCTAAGCGACCTAATCCCATGACACATCAACAGTCAGATTCCTCAGTATCCAGCTAAATAAAATAGGTGGGCTCCGACATATGCTTGTCTTATTTATTCGTTCCACATCTTTTTTTCAGAAAGAACGCAACGAATGATTTTCTCTTCATTGCCCTTATTTCGCGAACTTGAAGAAAGACTCACTACTTCTCTTCCCTAAACAGCCTCATCACTATCAAGGCTCTGCTCCACTCAAGGTGATTAACAACAATCCCCAAACGACCCTGTCGAAGCAGGTTGAAACAAATTGAAAAAGAGAAAAAGTTCATGCTGAGGGGTAGAACCTTGGGGGTGACCCGGCTATGAATTCCGGTGTTTCCGCTGTTATCATCATATCTTCCTCTTCTCGTCACCAGAATTTTGACGACCATTTGCTGTCTCCTAATAGTTGTTCTCCAAAAACGATGTCTCAACCTGCACGCCTCTCTCCCTTTGGTAATGCACTCGCAGGAGCGATTGGCGGCTGCCTCTCCAATGCTGTTGTGTGAGTTCCTATGTAGAAACGCCGGACGGTTCACTGACGCTGGAGCAGATATCCACTTGATACGTATGCCTTTTCTTCTCCATATATTCCCTTCTGGAGCGAGGAAAACGTAGCGTGAAAACTCGCATTCAAGCTGACACTTCAGCTGACGAGAAATCAACACCTTCCGGCTCCTCACTTTCGAGACCAGCCGCACCGAAGCATATCGATCTGTCCTCTGTCACGGCTTCGAAAAAGGATGGAGTGCGGAAGACTTTCATGAAAATTTGGAAGGAGCAGGGGATTGAAGCGTTCTATCGTGGATTTGGAGCTTCAATGCTCAACACCTTCAGTATGCAATTGTACGTCACCTCCTCTTTCTGCAGTCCAGGGCAATGAGGTTTGAGACTCTTACGCTACTATTTCTGTGTAGTGCATACTTTTATTTTTATGCACTCGTTCGTGCGACATATTTGAAGCGCCTTGCGACTGGTTCCCTCTCATCGGGCAAAAAACAGTCACCACAAGCATTATCTACAGCGTACGCCTTTCCTTTCTATTCGGGGTTGAGCAGAATCTGAGAGGTGTATCACAGGACCGAGCTCATCCTCGGAGCCATAGCTGGCGTCCTCTCTTCTATATTCACCATTCCAGTCTCGGTCATTGCGACCGTCAACAACTCTCAAACAGCAAAAATGCGCCATCATTTATCCAAACTGCGAGCGTGATCCTCCAGGAGGACGGAATTACCGGTTAGCCTCTACCCATTTTCCGAGAGAAAATGGCTGAGATAGAGTTTGGATAGGGCTTTGGAGAGGTCTCAGGCCGTCCCTTGTTCTTACCATCAACCCAGCAATCACGTATGGCGTCTTCGAGCGCATTCGGTCAATGGTACAACGGCCAGACGAGGCGAAGATGGGAAGCGGTAAAGCTTTCCTCGTCGGTGCAGGGAGCAAAGCTCTGGCCACGATCGTGACGTGAGTCTCTTTCTAATGTTCCTTTGTTAATTAACGTGATTGGATAGTTATCCATACATTATGGCGAAAGTGCGGCTCCAAGCGAAATACGACGAAGAAGAGTCAGACGACCAGAAGAGCTATGCATCCGTGGTGAAAGATGGACCGACTGCTGGTGACATCACCCAAGGGAATGGGACATCCAGCTTCATCATCGTAGACGAGGAAAAGAAGCTTGCAGAGTCCCAGTCTGCACTCGAGAAAGGACAGCCTGCTCCAGCTTCGATTAGGAGGAAGAAGAAAGAGAGATACAATGGCGCTATAGATGTTCTGGTGCAGACTCTGCGCTCCGAAGGCATCACAGGTTGGTACCGGGTAAGTATATTCCCATCTCTTATTCCTATTTTTGAGACTGATGTGTTGTGGAACGGAATGAAGGGTATGCAAGCGCAGATCACGAAGGCGACGCTGGCGCAGGCGTTGTTGTTTGGTATCAAAGATTATCTCGATGGATATACCTTGCTTTTCCTCCTCGCTGTCCAAAAAGCTATGCCTGGAGGTGCAGATGTCTTCGAACAGCGAAAATTAGGTTAGAGAGGGATCTAAGGGATTGTAATTATTTTTCTTGCTGTTCATTATCTGCCATGAAAATGTTCACTTCATTCATTGCTGTCTCTTCCACATGCCAATTTCAGGCTCCATTGCATGTTCCATCACTTGAGGATTGACTTCAAACGCCAGCGTACAGCGATTCCTTAGAGCCTCTTCTCTTCATCCATACTCTTGTCCAGCGCAGTGACTGTTGCGAGATCGGGTTCATTCGTCACAGGTTTCGCCTTTCTTCCAGGTAGTATAAAGGTATAAATCGCAGTCTATCCATTGGTTGACAGCCCTGAGCATCAGCTAGTCATCATGTTTCTGGTGTCACTCCACCTGCTTTTAGAATAAACCGGCGGCTTATCCACTTACAGCACCGCTGAAGAACGATAGGTATGCAATTTGTGCTTCACGGGTCTAAGTTACTTGCAAGGATGCTTAATTGGCAGAATTAATGTTGCACGAATAAACATTCAAATTATATACGTAACACGATTACTGCTCATTGGTAAAGATGGCAGCCATTCCCATGCCGCTACCAATACACATGCTAGTGACGATAATCTTTGCGCCAGTCCTTTTTGCTTGAGGGTAGAGAGTGGCGACCTGTCGACTGCCAGTCGCACCCAGGGGGTGACCTATTATCCCACGACGATAAATGATTAAATAAATAAATGGAAGGAAGGAAGAAACGTACCGATGGCGATAGCGCCACCGAGAGGGTTGACCTTCTCATAAGGAATCTTGACGGTGTCAACGCTCATGACAGCTTGAGAAGCGAATGCCTCGTTGATCTCGAAGAAATCGACGTCTGAGACGCTCAGACCGGTCTTCTTGAGAACGTGAGGAATGGCGACGGCAGGTCCAATACCCATGATTCGTGGAGGTACTCCAACCACTGAGGCAGTGACAAAGCGTCCGAGGATGGGAAGACCGAGCTTTTTGGCGACGGAACGGCGGGCGAGCAGGACGGCTGCTGCTCCATCTGACACCTGCGATCCATACCCTCTCAGCATGCTGCAGGTCATGAAGGAATAGAGAAGTGCGAACCTGCGAAGCGTTACCAGCATGGGTAGAACCATCCTTCTTGAAAGCAGGCTTGAGCTTGCCCAAGCTCTCGGCGGTAACACCGTCCCTGAATCCATCGTCCTTATCTACCGTCTTCTCATTCCCATTCTCATCCTTCACCACGACAGGTACGATTTCATCCCTGAACTTGCCTTCCTTCTGTGCCTTGAAAGCCTTCTGGTAAGAAGACGCGGCAAACTCGTCCTGCTTCGCACGCGACACTTTGTATTCGGTCGCGACGTTCTCGGATGTGATACCCATGGGGACGAGACAGTCTGCTGCCTCTTGGTTCGACATGACCTCGTCACTGAAACGCTCAGGGAAGACGCCGGGTCCGTAGTGAATGGTCATGCTCTCAACACCAGCACCGATACCAATATCGATCTCACCTGTGTACAATGTTCGTCAGCACTTTGACAAGGGTTTGACGGAGAGTGACGAACCAGTCTGAATCTCCAATGCGATCTGGTTGATGGAGGTAAGACCAGAAGAGCATTGACGGTTCACGGTATTCACGGCCGCGGTATGCGGGATTCCAGCAGCAAGAGCAGCCATACGCGCAATGTTGGCTCCTCCACCAGGGCAAAGGACAGTCCCGACAGCCACATCCTCAATGTATTTCGGGTCGATTCCTTCAGGTCGAAAGGATGGTAAGTCCCAACTTTGCCCAGATAATAACCCAAGTAAAAAGCATACCAGACTGCTTGATGACTCCCTTGAAGACTGTCAAGAGCAAATCATCAGGAACGACGTCCTTCAGTCCACCTTTCTTCGCTTTCGTAATCGGTGTCCTGAGTGCGGAAACAACGACGACGTCGTCTGGCGTTTGCCTCAAGATGGAGCTCTTTCCGCCGCGAGTGTTTGGTGCTGCCATTGCGATCGTAGAAGGGATCTTTTCTGTTTGTGATTGGATGGGAAAAGCTGGAGAACGGGGAAATGCTCTGAGGCAACAGGTGTTTTATGCGACGTGTTGATTGCCGAGTTTCACGTGTTGCCCGGGGGGATGATGTGAGCGTGAAGCCGGAAACCTCAACCGGAACTTACCGCGGAATGTCTTTGCACGTCAAAAACGATGGAGTATTTAGGTTGGGATATACACAATATGTACTGCCTTGGTAGCTCAGTCGGTAGAGCATGAGACTTTTAATCTCAGGGTCGTGGGTTCGAGCCCCACCTAGGGCGCTTTTTGTTGGCTTAATTTTTTTTACTTTTGCCGGGAAGTAGTACCCGATAATAGCGAGCTCACCGAAGCTCCATGGTACCCAGCTCTTCCTCTTCTTCATTTCGGCCTATCTGTTCATTGCTCATTTGCAGCACCTCTGCAGTCTGAAGCGTCCCCCGTAAGCCGCGGAACCCGTCTTATAATAACCCTCACCCGCGTTATTGGACATTACCCACCAGTCTTCGAATCAAACCACTAGATTTTTAGTCCCACGTCATGAGTACCCAAGCAACTATCAACGCCCTAGGAGCAGATAATATCCGTCAATGGCTTGAAGGGTTCTGGGCTGCAGGTGGATACGGGTCAGAGGTCATGCAGAAGCTTCAACTGGTTTCATGCGAGTTGGAAGGCTTTGAAGTGGTGCAAGAGGATGGAGAGGACGTGTTGAAGAGCGGACGGGGAGCGAAGAGCACCGTTATCTTCAAATTGCTGGTTGACGAGTCTATGTGTAGTCCTACCGGTACGTTTTTGCCTTCAACTCTCCAGACACTTTCTAACGTGAACACCTGTGGACATCTTTCGCCAGGTTTCATACATGGTGGTTGCACAGTAAGAAATTGCTTCTCGTGATGTGGTAGATTGCTGATTCTCGTCCTAGGCATACCTTTTAGACGTTTGCACCTCGTTAGCTATACGGCCGTTCTCCAAACCTGGCTTTTGGTTCACGACGGGAATGAGCACTTCCCTCATCACCACCTTTCTAAACGCTGTCCCTTGCAATACTACCGTTTTGTATGCTACCTTCCTCAGCTCGACGCAACCTGGACTAATTTGTTGTTCCACACAGACTTGTCAACCGGACATTATCACAAGGGAAGGCAGTAGCGTCCTATGACTTTGAAATGATCAGTGAGGATGGGAAGACTATTTACGCGAAGGGCACTCATACAAAGGCTGACACTAATAAGGTCAATACAGCAGTTAGTAAACTGTAGATTTGAATCTTAGATTGCATGCTCTATTCACTTCGTTCTCATGCTCTATTTACAACATTACTCGGGACCTCAGCTTTGCTTTGACAGGAAGTCGATCATCTTCTCCAGTGCCCTTGCTCGATGAGAGATAGCGTTCTTTTCTTCTGAGGCCATTTCCGCATACCTATAACAGCATTAGTTCACATTGTAGCTTGTGACATGGAGCTCCTCACGTCTTCCCAGTTTCCTCAGCTTCAAATACAGGATCCCAACCAAAGTTCTGAAACAAGAATTAACTCTTTTCACAAAAACAGGATGGCATCACGAACAGGGGGACCACGAGGTGGAACGATCTTTCCATCTGTGCTGCCTTGAAACATTTGTGGCTTCGAGACGGTACCATCGACAATTTCACAATAACCGAACGTGCAAATTGCTTTTGCCCCTTTGTCGTCAAAGCCGGAAAGCATACTATTGAGGCCTACGAACGATTGAGCACTCAACTACTTCGAAGCAGATGAAGACATGAAAGCACACCGTTCAAACCCAACGATTTGAGAAACCATTTGATGTATGGGCCAGGAAGCTCTCCCATGGCGTTGAAACATAGCGCCGTATCTTCAGTTACGACTGCGACCTTTCCGACAGTAGCTTCTTTCCCTGTCTCCTGCAACAGAGCTTCAGCAGCTCGCTCAACTTTTGCGAGAGCGATGGAGGCGATTGTTCCCTGTAATTCAGGGACTATTTGACGTTTATACCTCTGTAGAATTGCAAACGACGTACGGTCGAGATCCAACGAGGTTATCTCCAGCCTAGATGTGACTGAAGAGCACCTCGCGTAACTTATTAGCGTTTCCGGTAACAAAGACTTAATTCTTTCATCAGAGACATTCACTCCATCATAAGAATACTTGCCTAATTTTGACGGTGCAAAAGAAATCTCAGCCATACTCGAAGTACTAAACTACTGAAGCAGAAGGATCAGGCTTTTTTGAGCTCCCAAGCGTGTGGGCCAAGTAGTAGATAAGATGGATGAAATAGTCGAGAATCAAGACACTGACAGGTTGAGGAAAGCAAAGAATATATTTGTCAGGTTCATACAGTCACGTGCTCTTTAGGTCGTCCCTTTGTCTTGGGTCAGGAACACAGAAAACAATGAGCGACGAGTGTCTGCCCTGATGCAACATCCCTCTTTGTATTCTCTCGCATCAAAGATACCAAAAACCTGTATATAACGAGAAGAAAACCCAGCGGGATCAAAGATATGGCCTACCCGTCCCCTGCAAGTTCTCCAACGGCAAAGCTGTTACCTGTTTCTAATGCTCTGGGTGGTGGAGTGGGGACATCTAAGAGAGATGTAGCTTACTACTATGATGGTAAGTCCTTCCTGTCACTCTACACGTGGCAAACGGACCTGTGTTTAATTTGGGAGAAACCCTTGGATCTCGGCCAATTTGCATATTCTGCAACTCGTCTCCATTCGTCTGAGTTATAGATGACACGAGAAATACCTGAAGGAGAAAAGAAGGAGAAAATCTTTGAGATGAAACTGTTACTCATGTGATGTGCGAATAAGCTGTGTTAGTCAGCTCATGAAGCTGGTCGGCGTAATACTGCATGCACCAGCAGTCTGGACGGGATTGATTTAGCTATGACAGCTACGGGTAGCTGTCCACTCTGTATCGCTACTTTTCGATTGAGTAAAACGATCCAGCATGACTGTATTCATGGCTCAATGACGCATAACATGGCTGGTTCTCTTTGAGTCTAAATGTCAACTTGCGGAGCTACAAACTAATTTCCGTTGATAGAGGACATTGCCTGCTATGGGTATACGCCGACCCATCCAATGCGCGTACGCCTTCTCTAACTCTATCAATCAAGCTCACAGCATCCCGTAGCCTCATCGAATACATATCACTCACAACTTGATTCAAGCCTATGAGCTAGATCAACGTATGGATGTCATCGTAAGAGTTTGCGTCCTTTTATGCATAAGGCTTATGATCGGATAGCGACCGAATAGACCGACTCCTCAGCAACTGACCACCTTTCACACGGACGAGTATATCGATATTCTTTACAACCTAAATCTCAACCTCGACCAGAAATACTTTGATAAAGCTACTGGTGGAGGCAAAAGATGTATGTTTGACTTTGACGTGGCCAACACCTAAATCTAAACTGCTGGCTAGTCCTTGTGGGAGATGACTGCCCAGCTTTCAGTGGCATCTATGACTTCTGTTCAATCTCGGCTGGTGGCTCCATTGGTTTGTTTCCTCCTCCTTCGAAAGAATTGGAATTTGACTGTTGGACAGCCGGAGCACGACGCCTCAACTCGAGAAAAGCGGATATTGCGATAAATTGGGCTGGCGGCCTTCACCATGCGAAGAAGCGGGAAAGCAGTGGGTTCTGCTACGTGAACGGTTTGTTCAATTCTCTTGTACGAGTGTGAGCTCAGAATGCGTTACTCGTAGACATCGTGTTGGGCATTTTAGAGCTTCTCAAATACCACACGAGAGTACTTTACATAGACATCGATCTGCATCATGGAGACGGAGTCGAAGAAGCATTTTACACCACGGACAGAGTCCTTACCTGCAGCTTTCACAAGGTTTGTCTGCCTTCCTGGAGCTCACAGCTAATGATTTGTAGTATGATGGTGATTTCTTCCCTGCTACTGGGGCGCTCGAAGATCTTGGGCAGGGAAAGTGCGTCTCTTTCTCATTCAAGGGAGAGCACAACCGACTGTCAGCACCAGAGGCAAGAATTACGCAATTAACGTACCGTTGAAAGATGGAATCGACGATGAGACATTCATGCGCGTTTTCCAACCGGTGAGCAGGAGGCCGTATTTATAGAAACTGCATGACGTAGATTGGTAAAGGTCGTTCGGAACATCATCCAGCATTACCAGCCAACAGCCATCGTGCTCCAGTGCGGCGCGGATTCGTTGAGCGGAGACAGGCTTGGCTACTTCAATCTCACCATGGAGGGTAAGCTTTAGATTTCTCACTATTGCTCACTCTGATATCGTCCAGGACATGCTGCCTGTGTTGCCTTCGTCCGATCATTCAACATTCCCACAATGTTGCTCGGTGGCGGAGGTTATACGGTGCGCAACGTTGCCAGGGCATGGGCTTACGAAACTGCCACCGCTATCGGGTGTCAGATGGAATTATCAAGGGAGATTCCTTGGAATGATTTCTACGAGTGGTTTGGTCCTGAGTATAAGCTCGAGATCCCAATGACGAATGCCCCGAATGCGAATACGGACAAAGATATGCAGCGAATTGTGTCAGTCCCTTTTCCATGAATGTATCATTCAGCTAATGGAAATATAGAGAGACAATTACAGAGAGACTGAGAGCACTTCCACACGCTCCATCAGTCGGATCTCGTATTCTTTCAACACAAGATGGGGAGTCTTCCGACGAGGAGTCAGACCCAGAGATACCACCTAGCGCTATCCTTGACGGGATCCGACCACCTTCTCCGCAACTCGAGCTGCCGATTGATTTGAGTGAATTAGGATCTCCAATCCGTGCAGGCAAACGTTCTCGGCGACACTATGAGTCTCGAACTCCTTCTCCTCCTGGCGACAAAGATTCAGAATATCATTCAAGACGGACCCCTCAAATTCAAAACGAAGAATGGGGATATGTCGTGGGTAGCTCGTTGGAAAGGCGCAAACAGCCGTCTAGGTTGTCCTCAAAAAATTCGCGGGGTGTTGCCAATATCGCAATGCCGCTTTTGCCTCCTCATCCCAATGGAGACGAAGTTGTACAGGATGAGGACACAGAAATGGATGTTGACGACCAACCTCCCTTACAACCACCCAGACGGTTCTTTCCTAAAGCCAGGAAGACAATGATCTCACTTCCTGCCACGATGCCTTCAACGGCATGGCAAATGGAGAATGGTTATCCGAGCCCTTCTGACGGTGCAATTGAGAATCTGTCATCCGAGGACGAAGCTCAGGCGGAGGAGCAGGAGGATGAGGAGGATGAAGAGGACAAGTCCGGCCACAATCGTTGGTTTGTACA